GGAACAATGACTGTATACTCCTTCCATCTTCTTTTAATGCTTTCTGGATCATTCAGTATTCTGCCCATAGCATCCTTAAGTATTGCAGCTTGTGGCTTGAATTTGTTCTTTAGTTCTTTCACGTCAAGAAATGCCCATAGCATCCTTAAGTATTGCAGCTTGTGGCTTGAATTTGTTCTTTAGTTCTTTCACGTCAAGAAATGCTAAACAAGTTCTGCCCTTTTGATTTTCAGGTTATGTACAGTAGAGCACAATTAGAGTAGACAAACAGATATGGCATTTGAAGCTGAGCTCTCAAATTTGGAAACGCAAAGGAGGAGGAACAGTTGTAAGCAGAAACTAATGATTGGAATATGAAATGTGAAAAGCATGAATGCAGGAAAACTAAACATCATTAAGAAAGAAATGGAACACATAAATATTGACATATTAGGTATTGGTGAAATGAGATGGCTTGTCATGTGACATTTTGAATCAAATGATCATGACTTACTATGCTGAAAATGAAAAGGTGAGAAAATTATCTGGATCCATCTTGAAATACAACGTTATAAGTGACAGGCTAATATATATATGCATTCAAGGAAGACCTGTTAATACCACTATCATTCCAATTTATGCACTAACAAACAGAGCCAAAGAGGAGAAATTAGATGATTTCTACCAACTTTTGCAGTCAGAAATCGATTGAACAGCAACCAAGATGCATTATTAATAACAAGTGCATTGGAAAGCAAAAGTTAGCAATCACAAAGGATCCGTAGTCAGAAACGTGGACTTCATGACAGAACTGAAGCCGGCAATAGAATGATAGAATTCTGCACAATCAATTATTTATCATTGCAAAACCTCTTTTCAATTTTATTTTATTAATTTTAATGAACATTTACAGAGATTTTGGATTTCCATTCATTCACTGTTGCACTTTTCTCCCTGCCCAACCCTCCCACCCCAGTTTGTGCCTCTCTTTGAAAAGTAAAATTCTTTCATTGGTATACAATCCCCCTGAACCCACCCCCACCCCACCCCCACTACATTCCACTATGCAACCTTACTTCTGGATTATTGAGATAACCATAATACCCTATTCTATATCACTTTTAAACTATTCTCTCCCTCATCAGTTTCAATGCAGTATACATAATTTATCCGGTTTTTCTCAGTCTTATGCCAACCCTGATGTCAGTCCCATTCTACAACAGTGGCACCATGCAGTATTTGTCCTTTTGTGCCTGGGATGTTTCACTCAGCATAATGTCATCCAGGGCCACCCATTTTCAATAATATTGTATGAGTTTCTTGTTTCTCAATGTAGCGGAGCATTCCATTGTGTGACTATACCATAGCTTCTCTATCCATTTGTTTGTTAATGAGCACTTGGGTTGTTTCTAGCTCCTTGCTATTGTGAACAAAGCCGCGATAAACGTGGATGTCAGTTATGGTCTCTTTGGGGTATATTCCCAGTAGTGGAATTTCTGGGTCAAATGGTAGCACTATTTGCAACTTTTTGAGAAAGCACCACACCACTTTCCACAGTGGTTGCACCATTTTACACTTCTACCAACAGTGAATAAGGGCTCTAGTTTCTTCTCCACAATCTCGCCAGCATTTGTTGCTTGTGCAAATACCTTTTATAAAAAAAACATAAGCACAGGCTATCCACATGTATTTCACCTGATGGTACGCACAGGAATTAGATCGATTACATTTGTGGAAGGAATCGTTGGAGAAGATGAATATCAGCAGTAAACACTATGCCAGGTGCCAATTGTGGAACAGACCATCAACTACTCTTATTCAGGTTCAAACTAAAGCTACACGTCAAATCATATCCACAGGAATCAAAATTTCATCTTGAGTCTTTCCCCCCTGAATTTAAAAACCAACTCAGGAACAGATTTGAGGCCTTGAACACTAATAAAGACCAGTTGAGCTGTGGGACGATAACAGGAATATCATCCATGGAAGATTCAAAAAAGCCATTACCAAGACAGAGGGAAAAGTCCAAAATGGAAGTCAGAAGAAACTCTGAATATTGTACTAGAGCATCTAGAAGCCAAAGCATAGGGAAGAAATCAAGAAGTTAAGGATGTGAATAGAAGTTTTCAAAGGGCAACTCAGGAAGACAGTAAAGTATTATAATGAAATGTGCAAGGAATTGGAGTCTTCTACTGTAGGCACCTAAAACTTTTTGGACTCTACTCAATTTGAAAATCAACCTATGTTTTAGGTATCTGTTAGTACCCTATCCTCACCGTACCAAATTCTACCTTATCTGTTGTTTTGGGTATTGTTGAATCAACTACAAGTCATAGTAACCCTGTAAACAACATACCTGAGCCTTCCCCTACCTTCCACCACCCTCATGTCGCCATCATGCTCAAGCCTGTTGTTGGTGTGAACCCTCTACCTTTCCCAGTATGATGGGGTTTTTTTTCCCTAAGAAAAGGCTCTTCCCAACATTTCCAAAGCATATGAAATGAAGTTTCACCATACTTGCCTCTAAGGAGCACTCTGTTGCCATCTATCCGTCAGTTTGCCATTCTCTAGTGACTAGCATGTCACTATAATGCTGGAAGCTGTCCTGTCAGTATTGCACATACCAACCCATGGTGGACAGATTTCAGTGGAACTTCCAGATGAAAAAGCAGAAATGGCCATCCATTCTGAAAGAACAAGCCTTCAAAAACTCTATAGATAATGGAGGAAGTATCTTACCTAGTGCTGATATAACAGAGATTCCCACAAGTGGGTGACTTTAACTAATAGAAATTTATTCTACAGTACGTAGAGGATGAATGCCCATATTCAGGGAACAAGCTCTAGAGGAAGGAAGATAATCTTTAGGTTTTGTAGGAATGTCCATTCCTTCAGCATCCATAGGTTGAATGTACCTGGATATGTCTCCATGTGTCTTGAGCTTCCCAGTAATAGGAAGCTTCTTAGCACAGGGATCCCATCTAAAAGGACATACTCTACTCCTAGCAGCTAATTCTTGATGGTACTTAGATCCTCTTGTCGTCTTGTCGGTTTCTAGAAGGCTAGAAGAAACCTCAGAAGCATGTTTTTAAAATAAACTGCTGCCATCAAATAAACAGGCATTATAGATTTGTTTGATTGCTGCCTTAAGAATGTTATTTAGCTCAGGAGCAGTGTCAGAGTTTCCGCCTTCCTGAGTCCACAGCCTGGGGCAGGGCGTGGCAGGTGTGCCTGGCGACCTTGCTGTGAGTCTCAGCGGAGCCGAGCAAGGCTGCTGCACCTTCTCAGTGGCATCGGGAGGCAGTGGCTTTCACTGTCCCCTGTCTCCAGGTCATCATTCTAGAGGTGACCACACGGATCTGACCTGCGAAGGACACAAGACCACAGGGCCCCTCCCCAAACTTGTGCAAATGAAGCAGAGCTTATTTGCATAGCATTTTTGATATTGCAAAATGAAATGCAAGGCACCAAAAGTAAGACAACTGAAGGCAGTAAAATAGTATTAGATAGGAAGATCATCAACCTTGAAGGACCAAGTGGAGAGAGAAGGGTATGAAAAATAAAATGAAGCCATGTTTTCCTACATGTATTTCAGCAGGCCTTCTGAAATTGAACTAAAATATGACTGTTCGTTCTTTTGAGAACTGATCTTCTCAGTACAAGGTGTGTCACACAAACCAACCCCAAATTGTTAGCACTCTGCTGTTCTTAATTATATTTGGAAAAACACTATTAATTATCCTCACACTAGGAATGAGAAGGAAAAATACCGTGAACATTTTATGGGACCTTTTTTGCATTTCATTGGCACTCATTGATCTTTTCCTTCTGATAAACATCTCCATCACCTCCTATTTCAGGGATTTTTGTCCTTCTAGGCATCAGGTTTACCATATATCACATCTGCCTATTATATCATTTCCTTTTACTTACGGATTTCTGCATTATCCTGTCTTACTGATAGCTTGTGTAGATTATTACCTGAATTTCTCTAAAACCACCAAACTTCCATATAGAGGATAATTTTGACGATAATTTTGATGTGGACATCAGTCCTTGCTTATGTGTTAGGGAAACCCAGCTGTCTCTCAAACCCTGGGTGCACAGAGCGCCTCCCCTCAGCAGTGCCCCTTCTACGTCAGCTCTTGGGGCCCCTGGCTGTCCTCTTCCATGCTGGTGGTCTTAGTGATGGTTTTAATCACCTCTTCGTCAGATATTGCCATGATACATGCTGTAGGATAACTTCCTATATAAACGAAGCAGTCCTCTATTTTCCCTTTCCATCCCATTTGATTTGTGCTGTGAATTCGAAAAACAAGCACGTCTGCCCCAGTTCATTATCTATTTTCTTGGTACCTGGTTGCCATTTGTAGTACTTCAGATAATCATCCTTTTATTTAGAGTACAAATTCCAGCTTATATTGAGATGTACTTTGTCAGTAGCTTCTTCATTGCTGCATTTATTGGTTTAACTGTCACAGGCTGACTTTAAAAGATATCACATCACCTGTGGGTCCGCTTGTAAGCTGGAAATGCTGCTTCGTTCCTTTCACAATCCATAATCTTGAGAAAATGGAGAAGCCTATGTCTGTAATAATTTGTTAAAATGTTATCACATTAAAGTTATTCAAAAACAATAATAGAGTCACAATTTTACGGCGAGAGAAGGAGGGCTGAGAACATATGAAATGGTTAGTCCCATCCCGGTGTGGCAGGGACTGAGGGCAGACTCAGCAAATTGAAGAGCTAAACAGAAACTGAATTGACACTCCCTCCCACGCCACCATTTGTACTTCTCTAAAAGAAGTCTTTTGAGGCTGTGTTTTATTTTAAAAACAAAAGGATGTTAATAAAATTTTTATACCTGTTTTTTTAAAAAAAGAATGTTATTTAAAATCTAGTCAGTCTTTGTGAGTAATTCTTTATTTTCTCTTCTTTTATACTGTATATTTGGGATGGGGGGGTGGTTTCTGCTTAACAAAGATCAGGAAGTCTTAAAATTCTTTTTTGTCCATATTCAGGTGTTTGGGATAAAATCTTGGAACCTGTGGCATGTGTGAGAAAAAAGTCTGAAATGCTCCAGCTTTTCCCAGCATATTTAAAAGGAGAGGATCTGTTTGGGTTAACAGTCTCTGCAGTGGCACGCATAGCTGAATCAGTAAGTGTTTGGTCAAAAAGAAATTGCTTTTCTTATTGTACATTTCATTTTTACTCAGTATGAACACATTTCAGTACATTCTATAATTTCCATGTATATCCATATAATATTCAGTACACATTCTTTGCTATCCGGAGCACTTTTAGGCAGTGAGTTTGCTTGTGGATTAAGTGCTGTCTCTCTGAAAGAAAAAAAATAAATTGATGATTACGTACTTGAAGGGGTAGTTAATAAGTATCAGGTTCTCTGCAAGGTTGATGCCTAACTAGAGCACGTGTCACCAGCATCATTTTGTCTTTTGGACATGCTGGCCTGGTAAAGGTCTGTCCTTTGCTTTCTAATGTACTGTGGATACTTGCATAACTTGGTGTGTGTATTTCCTAATACCTGGGTCATTATGGCCATTCTCCTGCCCTCTTCCCAAAGAAGATTTAGATGGACTGCAGAAGCAAATCTCTACATGATTACATTTTTTGCCACTGAGTTGAACTGAACTTACCTAGACAATACTTGGAAAATTACATGATTAAAAGGCAGTATTGACAAGAGTAAAGTAATCAGTGCTGTTATTTCTTAGGAACAGCAGAAAAAATACTCCAAAAACCACTTTACTCTATGCCTAACTGCTTGTTTTTATAGAGTGTTGCCTAAATGATGTCATTTGTGTTTGTATACAATGTATTTTACAAGAAATATAATCTGTGAAAGGTCTTTAGAATTTAAATATTTTATAAAAGGAACCTTAATCTGTCACCTATACCCCAAGGACAGTGAGAGCTGTGGTAGTTATGGTTATTGAGTGCCCTCAAGTCAGCCTTAATTCATAGCAACCCTGTACACAGCAGAACAAAACATCACCTGGTCAGCTATCTTCTCTTCCCCCTTCCCCCCCCCCAAAGCATTTTGTCATTCTCCAGGGATTAGTCATTCCTGAACTCCTACCATCCTTCCTCCAAAGAACATTCTGCCTATACGTCCTCCAACACAGATTCCTTATGGCCAAGACCAGCCAATTTCACCTCCTTAATGTCTAGGATATTGAATCTTTATGCACCACCAGATGCTCTGCCGGAGAAGGAGGCGCAATATCCTCCTGTACCAGTCAGATCTGATTTGACGGTACACGCACACA